TTACAATCTTTCATAAACATATACTAACTAAAATTAAAATTAGGTACATGGATCAAGCGTAACTTTCAGACATTTGACGGGAGCAGTGATTTTGCTGGCACACCGGAATCCTGGGATGTAAAAGCATACGTTTCGAAAGTGACAATTTGTATTGTAAACGAAAGTTCTGATGGTATGACACTGGAATTTGACCTGATTGGCACCGAAGCACCAATTGCGAACGCAATCCGACGGGTTCTCATCGCTGAGGTTTTATTTTTATGCTTTTTTTTTTGCATCTATGCAATGCAGAAAACGCATATTGACGAAAGGTTACTGTGTGTGTGTGTCTGTCTGTCTGTATGTGCGTCTGTACCGATTTTGCATCTCGAGACCCAGAAGAGCTACAAGCTGAAATTTTTGAAATTTTTGGTAACCTAATCTACACGCGAGATTTTGGGCTTCTTCCCCCAAAATGAACGCTCCAGCTCACGTGGTTCCCACGTATGGGCCAGTGAAAATTTCTGGCGGTCAGTTGCTGGCTCGGAAGCCAGAAAAGCTAGAAAGCTGAAATTTTAAGGGGATGTTCCCCGTTGACATAAAACCTGTGCTTTTTTTGCATCTATGCAATGCAGAAAACGCATATTGTCGAGGGGTTGTCTGTGTGTGTATCTGTCTGTCTGTATGTGCGTCTGTACCGATTTTTTATTTCGAGACCCAGAAGAGTTAAAAGACTGAAATTTTGGCAACCTAATCTACACGCGTGTGCGGGCTCCTTCCACCAAAATGGACGCTCCAGCTCATGTGGTTCTCACGTATAGGCCTGTGAAAATTTTTGGCGGGTCAGTTGCTAGTTCTGGAGCCAGAAAAGCTAGAAGCTGAAATTTTGAGGGGATGTTCCTTGTTTACATAAAACCTGATGACTTGAAGTTCAACGCCCGGGTACGCGTGGTGGCATCATGTATGGGCATACGAAAATTTTTGGCGGTTAATTTGCTAACTCGGGAACCAGTAAAGCTAAAAAGCTGAAATTTTAAGGGAATGTTTTCTGGCATGTCTTGTTGGCCATTCTCAATCCTTTTAGCTAGAAGTATCTGTCAGAAAAAATAGTGATGTTAGCGACAAAAATCTGCGGGGAACTATGCGAACAAAGCATTTTCGCACAGACAGTCTGTGCGCTGGCCAATTATTCACTGCTCTTCTCCTGAAATTCTCGTTTTTTAGTCAACAAAATCTGGGCTGTTCAAATGTTTTTTTCAACTTACCCGTGGCTTTTTTGTTGTTTTTGCAATTCGAATGAAGCTTTCGCTTTCTCTATTTTGGTTCTTTTTTTTCAGCTTCCGACCATGGCAATCGAGAAAGTATATCTTTACCAAAATACTTCAATTATTCCGGTATGTTTTCTGTACATCTTTGACAATCATGCTGCAAGGCGACTTGGCTTTTTTTAAAAAAAAATTGGTGTTTATTTGCCAATTTTTATGCTTTTTTTTGCATCTATGCAATGCAAAAACATATATTGTCGGGGGCGGGGGGAAGTGTTTGTGTGTGTGTGCCTGTGTGTGCGTCTGTACCAAGTTTTCATCTCGAAACCTACAAAAGCTACAAGACTGAAACTTTGGGAACTTAATCTGCACGCACCTGTGGGGCCCTTATCCTCAGAATGGACGCTTTTGGTTCCCACGTACAGGGCCTTACAAATTTTTGTGAGTAATTTGCTAACTCGGGAACCGGAGAAGCTAGAAAGCTGAAATTTTAAGAGGATGTTTTCTGACAGTCGTAGTAGCCAATCTCAATTCTTTTAGCTAGAAGCATCTACCGGAAAAAACAGTGCCGTTGGCGACAAAAATCTGCGGGGAATTGTGCAAAAAACGCATTTTCGCACCCGTAGTCGCAGCACTTGCCATTTATTTCTTTTGTGGGATTTCGTTTTATTTGGATTTTCAGGATGAAGTTTTATGTCATCGTTTTGGACTGCTACCGATCAAGGCAGATCCACGGCTGTTTGAGATGCCACTTACACGGGTTATTGGGATCAATGAATCCGGTGTGGATTGTGATGAAGAGCCACCAGGTGATCCAAAAAGGTAAATTTTTTCATCAGAAAATCCCGCTGACGTACACTTTTCTTTAATTTTCCTCATTTGCTTTGTTATGGACACAGTTGAGCCCTCATTTTCATCATTTATTTTTTCTTGCGGACATAATTCGTTTTCAGAAATCTGATTTTTGAACTCAAAGTGAAATGTACGAAGAAGCCACCAGCCCTAAAGATCGCCACAGATCCCAAGGAACTTTATCAGAATGCCTTTGTATACACAAAATCATTCAAATGGATACCGATTGGGGCCCAATCCACCTCCCTCCGTGATCGACCAGCAATGGCAAATGACGATATCCTGGTTGCACAGCTTCGGCCGGGCCAACAAATCGAAGCAAGGTATCAACTGGTTTTCTTGCGCTTATATCCCACTTTTCCAGTAATTTAGGTGATTTTCTAGTTCAGCATCGTAGGGACTGTAAACGGCTGGAATGTATATGAAACCCCGGACGGAGTGCTGTCTCAAACGGGAACAGTTTTTTTTTTTTTTTTTTGAAGAAAAGTAAAACACAAAATTTCCAGTGCAACAAATTAAACCTGAATATCCAATTTTCTCGGAAAATGCGAAATACCGAAATAGCGGATACCGAAAATACAGAACCGCTATTCTTTGGCGAATATCCAATTTTTTCGAAAAATACCAAATACCAAAAAATATCAGGCACCAGAAATAACCCAGAACCGCTATAACTCCAACACTTCGGCCGCACCCCAGCCTCTTCCCCCAGGAACCCTACCCTCCCCCCTCTCCAAAAAAAAGCTGAGCTGTTTTTTTTAAAATGCTTCTAGTGCATACTTCTCTCCTACTCCAAAACTTATTAGAAAATACGAAAAAAGATATTCGCTTTGTGAACAAATATTAATTGGTCTTTGTAATTATGTCTTGGCCGCACTTCAACCCCTTCTTCAAACAGTTGCTCCAACCCCTTTCCCCCTCTCCCTCCCCCCCCGTTGACCAAGACACAATTACAAAGCGCAATTTATATTTAATCACAGAGCGAATATCTTTTTTTTTTTGCATTTTCTAATAAGTTTTGGAGTAGGAGAGAAGTATGCACTAAAAGCAATTCATAAATAATTGGCCAACGCACGGGCTGCCCGTGCGAAGATGCGTTTTTTGCAGAGTTCCCCG